AGAGAACAAGTGGAGGACCTCACAACCCCTCACATCCCCAGCAACTGGGGACTGGCTGTGATGGTGTTAGAGTTTGGCACAGAGCGGTCACTGGCTGCCCCTAACTACCATCCCCGGTTCAGTATAGAGGCTTAAGTGCCATGTGTATTCTGCTGAAAATACATCCTAGGATTGCTCTGACTAGCTGGCTTTGTACTGCCAGGATGGTGCTGCTGCCCTCTACTGGTAGAGGAAGACATAGTCAGACCCCGGAGCCAAGATGCCAGCCAGCTTCACCAGGGTAGGACCAGCTTCCAGTGGACCCACAGCAGGCTGTCTGCTAACATCTGGGCCCTGAGAAGACTGCCCAGCCTGGTAACTCTAAAGTGACAGTGTTGTTAATGCTTCAAGCTAGCTCTAGGCAGGATTTGCTTTTCCCTTTCCCTCACCATTTTAAATCCTTTTTCTTTACATCTATTTTGTATATGTGAACATGCACACACCACAGTGCGTGTGTAATTTGGAGGACAACTTGTGGGAGTTAGTTCTGTCTACCACATGGGTCCTGGGTGAAAAAGCTCAGGTCGTCAGCAAGCGCCTTTACCTTACGAGCCATTTTGCTGGCCCACATTTTAAATCTACTGAAATACTTGGCTGGATACGTGGGATTATAACGATCTGAGATGTATTAATTTGCTCTATTGTGTGTTCATCCTTATTGGACTGTTTGTATTTCTGTGTATTACGGACACTTTTGTAAAAATCCACTCCATTTTATTTTGCTTCATATACTGTAACGCTTCTAGGGATACATTTGCTGTGCCAATTTGAATTACGCTTATTTCTGACTTGTTTTATATTATGGTTTACTTTTGACAGCCTCTGTATTTCCCATATTAGCCTTTTATTATCAGCTCTTATTAATTGCCCATGCCATGGATTTTGGGTGACATTTTTATACTTGTGGAGACAGCTCGGATTTTATTTTCCGATTACCCATGCTGTCCCTTCACTTCAGAGAAAGTGTCCCACATTAACCCCTTCAAGCCCGGCTCTCTCCAAGATCTTGGTGCACTGTTTCCATTCAGAGCGAGGCATTCAGGAATCAGTGCCGTTTATGTCTCAGCCAGTAGCGCTTATAAGTGTAGCATATTTCTGTTTAGCTTTTTAGTGTAGACTATTACCACACATCTAAAAATTGCCTCAACCATCCCATATACGGCATGAACATCAGGCCTCCTACTGTGACAGCACCTGGGAACTGCCTTCGGGCCATCCATGTTTCACAGGCTGCTCAAGTCAGGACAGGAGGCGGCTGCAGTCCCGCGTGCCTCCCTCTGGGTACTGGAGATATTGGTGGGTGTCTGGGCAGTCCATGGCTGCCTCCACCGTTGTCATGGTAAATGGTCACACCGTGGCTCAGTAGGTGAAGGAAGGAACCTGCCACCGTGCCTGAACACCCAGGTTCCATCCCCAAGAAGGCAGGAGAACCAATTCCTTAAATTGTCCTCTGATCTCCACACATGTGCTGTGGCGTGTGTGTGTGTGCATGTGCACACACATAAATAAATGTAGAGCAGGAAGAAGAGGAGGAGGAGGAAGGGGAGGATGGGGAGAGGGGTGGGGAGAGGTGGGGAGAGGGAGGAGGAAGAGAAACATGCCTTGTACCAGAAACTAGGAACTTGAGTAGTTCAAGTACTTTCTCCTCAGGGTTTTTTGTGACCCATATGGTCACAGCGAGCTGTACAACCAAGTCCCACGAGAGCATGCTTCCTAGTAGCGCAGAGTGACACCATATTGTTTTCCCACACACGTGGACTTGCTTCCCATGTTCACAGGCTCCCAACCCACAGCCGTGACACTTCCTCAGTATGAATCAGCCCCTCACGTACCTGGGAGAGGGGCCCAAGCTACCCTCTGGTGGGTACAGTCCGCGTGTCCTGAGCAGAGGCCAGGCTTCTTCCTTCAGATCTCCTGGGTCTACAGGAGGCTACATCCTGACCTCAGCTGTCGTTCAGTACAACCGGATATCCAATGGCCTAGTTGGAGCATGGGGTAGAATGTGCCAGGCAGGCCCATGGTCTTTACTCCGGGCCGTGTGCCTGCTCTCCTCACATGGAAGCCCATCTCTCCCTCACAGGAGATGCTGGGGAACTGGGTCTGTGCCAAGTCATTCTTCACGAGAATGAGGGTCATCTCCGAGGGGTCACGGGCCTGGGAGTAAGGCACTCTTCCCATGACCCTTCGTCTCAGACGGTGTCAACCTTGGTTTTGGTGACCGTGGGAGGGTGCAGGGCTAGAACTCAGTCTCAGGAATACTAAGCCAGCTTTGTATTAGTCACAGTACAACCCTCAGCCTGGTTTTGGATGTTCCATTCCAGTCTTCTGTTTGCTGATAGTGAATCTGACTAATTCATTTAAGGGGAGGGGGGTCTCTATGGATTAGCAGCTCCGGCAGGCTGTGTCTGGTTCGCGGTTGAAGGCTCAGCTGTCTTGGCACGGGGGCACCGTTTCCTGTCAATCCTGGCAGACGTCCTCATGATGCAGAGCCCAAAGGCCCCGCAGAGAGGGATGGCACCTGACTGCAGGCCTGTCTGTCCACCCAGAGGTTCCCCTGCCTCGGTCCGTTCCTGCCAGCTCGTCCTCATCTGGTGGACCAGCTCCTGTTACGCACTCTGATGGAGAGCTGGCGTTCTGACTCCAGGCATTGCTTTCCTAAATGGCTTCCCCACCGCCACCCCCCACTTGCAGCTACTTCCAGTTACTCTGCCAGAAGCAGTCAAGGTGGCTTGTGTTTGCAGCCAGCTGCTGGCAGATGGGCTAAACATCTGCCGAAATGACAGCCTTGGCTGTCGGGCTGGCTGCTAATACAGACGGTTTCAACTAACCTGTCATGGCTTCGTAGCCCAGGCTGGCTTTGAACTTGCAGTAACTCAACTGCCGCAGGCTCCTGAATTCTGTTTAAGCTGGTTTGTGTAAAATGTCTCCATAGTCCATCCCCAGGGGGACTGAGGGCTTGATTTGCTGGCACAGTCTTCAGGGTGCCTTTCACATTCCTCTTCTGGAGACAAACTCAAAACCCTAGAATAAGGAGTTGGTATCATGTGCTGCCATGTGCTGGCGACGTGCTATCTGACGCCATGATTCATGAACCATGCTTGCAAAATTGGCTTTCAGTTACCTAGAACTGTCAGAAGACCACACCAGCCCATGACGGTCCTGAAGACATCTTTGATGGAAACAGGACAGGTGCACCCCAGCTATAATTTCTGTAATGCTTCCAGAACATGGTAACTACATTAACTAGGGACCCTTGGAGGGGGTTCTGGACCACAGGGGTCCTCTGAGGACAGGGCGGTGGTAGGAGGAAGCTGGGAAACCCAGCAGGGCTGTTCTGATGTGGCCTTTTTCTACTTTTAGAATGTTAATTGTACATGGCTTCAGACCTTTCCTTTTGAATAAAATGAAAACCTTGGTAACTCTTCCTGCCTTGTTCTCTGGCACTCCTTGGCATGGTGTGGGTTTCATCTAGGCTCATTCTTTTAAATTTATTATTATGTATACAGCATGTATGACTGCAGGCCAGAAGAGGGCACCAGATCTCATTACAGATGGTTGTGAGCCACCATGTGG